TGCCTTGGTTGATGCTGGGTGATCCATCCATATTCATTCCTTTTCTTTAATTTGGTAGTTAAGTCAAACCTAGTGACTTGCCAGGGCATTTAAATAACAACCAAATGCTGATTATCTGGAGATGTGGGAGGATGTAAGAAAGTGTTTTTAAAGATGTTATAGCAGTGTTCTTGGAAAAGTTCAGGGTAAACTGGCAAAGTTAATGTCGTTGTGAAAAGAAAATCATGTTTAACCAGTTTTAAACTTGTTGAAAAAGCAATGTTCTGTGGTTAAGGATGGATGTACTGATTTTATATAAATGATGTGGAGATGGGTATTGAGGGCAAAATCTCTAAATCTATGGATGCTTCTAAGCTAGGGAGAATAGTCAATTGTGAAGATGACAGAGTGACTTCCGAGAAATATTGACAAGTTGGCCAAATGGGCTGATGCCTGAGAGATGAATTTCAATGCAGAGAAACGTGATTTAATGCATTTTGGTAGAAGAAACATATAGAGTCAATATAGGTTCAAGGGTGTGATTTTGAGGGGTGTACAAGAGCAGAGAGACCTCAGGGTTCAAGGGCATAATTCTCTGAAGGTGGCGAGGCAGGTTGAAACGATGGTTTTTAAGAAGGCTTATAGGATCCTTGGGTTTATAAATAGAGGCGTAGAGTATAAAAGCAAGGAAGTGATGGTACACTTCTATGAATCATTAGTCAGACCGCATTTGGAGTGCTGTGTTCAGTTCTGGACGCTACTTTGGTTTAAAGAAGGATGTTAAAACCTTAGAGAGAGTGCAAAGGAAATACCAGGAATGAAGGAATTCTATATACAAGGAAAGATTAGATAAGTTGGGTTCATCCTCTTTGGAGCAGAGAAGACTGAGGTGACCTTGTTGAAGTGTTCAAATTTGTTCACAATTTTGATAGGGTAAAGGAGGAGAATGTTTCCATTGAACTCTTTAAATTCTTCTGCAGGACAATCGTTAATTAATAATCAATAAAGCATCCAATTATTAAGCAGGTGTCAAAGCAGTTCTTTTTCATGTAGTCTCCACTCCTCCTTTTTCTAGACATTTTCAACTTTTCTCCAGTCAGAATTGCTTTCAATTCCTATATAAGTTTGCCCTTGTCCTTTTAATAGTTTATTCCAGACAGAGTTGTTGCTGATTCTTTCGTATAACAGTTTATCTTTGATTCATTCAATCCCTGAACAGTTATTAAAGTTCTGAAACCTATAATATCACACCCTTGATTCCCTTATGATTTTGAAAATCTGTGTCTTCACCTTGAATATCATTGCCAATTCAGCCTCCACAGCTCTCACAGGAAAGCATTTCACAGATTCTCAGAAGAACTTTCTCATCGCTGTCCTAAATGGGTGACCCCTTACTTAGATTATGCCGTCTTGTCCTAGACTCTCTCCCAGGAGGAGAAACAACCTCCCTACATCAACACTGTCAAGACCCTTTTAAGATCTTTCGTGGTTCAATAAGGTCTCCTCTCATCCTTCTAAACTCCAATGAGTACCAACCGGACCTACTCGACCTCTCCTCAAAGAAAATCTTGCCAAATTAAGAGGCGTTTAGGTAGATGCATAAACAGGAAATAGAGGGATATGGACCATGTGCTTGCAGGCAGCATTAGTTTAGAATAACAACATGGTTGGCACAAACATGGTGGGTCAAAGGGCCTGTTCCTGTGCAGCACTGTTCTATGTTCTATTTTCCTGGAATTAGCCTAGTGGACCCTCTCTGGACTGCCTCAATACCAGTATATTTCTCTTTTTGATATGGGGACTAAAATTGTTCTCAGTGTTCTATGTGTGATCTGATTTGTGCCTTGTATAGTTTGCAAGATTTTCCTATTTTGATTCTCTTTTCCCTTAGAGCACCACATAGTACAGGAATGGGTCCTTCAGCCCACAATGTTGTGCCAAACATGACAACTAATTAAACTAATCCCTTCTGCCTGCCCTTGTTTCATATTCCTCCATTCCTTGCGTATTCATGTGCTTACCTAAAAGTCTCTTAAATGCCCCTATCATATCTGCCTCCTCCGTCACCCCTGGCAGCCCGTTTTGAAAAAAACCTTGATCCTCACATCTCCTTTGAACTTCCTCTCTCACCTTAAATGCATGACCCCCTCCCTTGTTTTAGCCATTTCAACTCTGGGATGGGAAAGGGTTCTGACCGTCATGCATCTCATAATTTTATAGACTTCTATCAAGTCTCCCCTTGGCCTCCGCCACTCCAAGGAAAACAACCTGAGGTTTTCTAACCTCTCCTTTATAGCTCATAATCCTCTAATTCAGGCAGCATTCTGGTAAACCTTTTCTGCACCCTCTCCAAAGCCTCCAATCCCTCCTGTAATCTGGTGACCAGAATTCAATGCAATACACCAAGTGTGGCCTAACCAAAGTCTTCTAAAGCTGCAACATGACATCCTGACCCTTGTACTCAATTCCCTGACCATACGCCTTCTTTACCATCCTATCTACTTGTGTGGCCAACTTCAGGGAACTATGGACTTGAATACCAAGATTCCTCTGTACATCAATGCTGTTCAGGGTCCTGCCATTAACTGTATACTTTTCCTTAACATTTGATCTCCCAAAGTGCAGGACATCACACTTGCGTGGGTTAAACTCCATTGCCATTTCTCCGCCCATGTCTGCAACTGATCTATACCCTGCTTTATCCTTTGACAACCTTCTACGTTATCCACCAATCTTTGTATCGTGTGCAAACTTACTGACCCACACATCTACGTTTTCATCCAAGCCATTTACGTATATCACAAACAGCAGAGGTCTCAGTGCGGATCCCTGCGGAACACCGCTATTCACAGATCTCCAGGCTGCAAAGCACCCTTCCACCACTACCCTCTACCTTCTATAGGCAAGCCAATTCTGAATCCACATGGCCAAGTCACTCTGGATCCCACGCATCTTAATCTTCTGGATGAGCCTAGCATGAGGGACCTTGTCGAAAGTCTTATTAAAATCCTTTTTTTTTGTGATTCATGCACAAGGACCACTAAATCCCTCTATAGCTTTCTGCAGTCTTTCCCTACTTAAATAATACTCACTCCTCTATTGTTCCTGCCAAAGTGCATAATGTCTCATGTTTCTTACATTATATTCTATCCACCAAGTTTTTGCCCACTTGTTTAACCTATCTTAATCTTTTTGCCATCCTCATAATTTGCCTTCCTACCTACTTTTGTCTCATCTGTATACTTGGCGATAGTACATGCACTTAGTTCATTCAAGTAGTTAATCTAGATTGTAAACAATTGTGAACCTAGTACTGATCCTTGTGGCACTCTACTAGAACAGGTTGCCATCTTGAAAATGCCCCCTTTAACACGGCTCTGCCTTCTATTACAAAATTGAAATTGCTGAACTGAGTCTCTAGAAGGGTCACCAGACCTGAAACATAAACTCTACTTTTGTTTGTTTCAGATCGGCAGCATCTGCAATTCTTCTGTTTTATTTATCTTCCATTACTAGCTAGTCCTTTGTATGTGCGAACGTACTACCCTAACCAAACATTTCAGTTGGTTAGATGACTGGCTTGTGATGCAGAGTGACGCTAACGATGTGGGTTCAATTCGCACGTCATTTGAGGTTACCATGAAAGACCTGCCTTCTCAACCTCTCCCCTTATGTGAGGTGTGGTGACTGTCAGATTAAATCTCTCGTTGTCCCTCTCTAATGAGAGAACAGCCTAACACTATGGGGTCCTGGTTCTCTTTTATCCTGTGTGTTACCACGTCAAAGAATTCAAATACATCTGTCAAGTAAGATTTCTCCTTCATGAAGCCATGCTGACTCTGCTTGATTATATTATGCATTTTCTAACTGTTCTGTTATTATGGTTTTATAATAGACTAACACTTTCCCAATAGTCCTTTTTCTTTTAATTGTTAAGCTAGCTGGTCTAATATAGTTAATGATTTTTGGCTCCCTTTTTAAGCAAAGGTGTTACTTTGATAGTTTTTCAGTCCTCTGGGACTTTTCCAGAATGTAAAGTTTTTTGGAAGATTACTATCTATGTGTGCACTGTCTCTTGTAGTTACTTTGTTTAATATCTTAGGATGCAACCAATCACATCTATGGGACTTATTGGCCTTTAGCTCCCTTAGTTTCCATTGTACTTTTTCTGTAGTAATTGCTATTTTATTTTTTTCCTTTTGCTGCTCAAATATTTAGTACAGTCGGAATGTTACTGATGATCTCTCCTGTAAAGACTGATGGAAAGTATTGTTCAACTCTTCTGCTATTTCCTAGTTTGCCCGTATTATTTCCCTAGCCTTGTTCTTTGAGGCCTATCTTCACCTTGGTTGCTCTTTAATAGGAAGAATTGCAAGAATTTGCTTGTTTGCTCTCAGTTTAGTTTCTCTTTTTTGTAATCTTTTGATTTTTTTTTTTAAAAACTTTCTTAACCTTGCGGCTTGCCAGTAATATTTGTCACATTACATGTTTCTTCTTTCAATTTGAAGATGTTCTTAACCTGTTTATCCCCTGTCCTCCTCCATCACTGGCCCATATCTTGGCTGGGAGTTGTGAACTTTTTTTTTTAAACATCTGCCATTGTTTGTCAACCTCCTTTTTATCCTGAAGTCCTTTCCCAGTCCACCCCAGCCAACTTTGCCCTCCTCACTATGTAATTACTCTTATCTGAGAATAGCACAATTCTTTCTGACCCATATTTCTTACAGTTGAGTCATAGAGTCAAACAACATGGAAGCATCCTCCCTTCTAGCAATGGCAACCAGAATTGTATGCCTTACTCTAAGTGTGGCCTTGCCAATCTCTTGGCAGATTGTATTATAAATTTAGACATAAGGCATTGTTGAAAGAAACAGAGACCAAATGCATGACTTTGAATGGGCGCTATTCTAATTGTACAACCTTGTTCAATTTTCCAATGCTTTGTCATCTTCCTTCATTTGAAAATTTAAATAATGCTATGAGAAGTAATTAGTGTTTATAATTTTTTGGCTCCATTGTAGGTGCACCTCTGCCAGCAGAAGTTGTATTAGTAGGAAAGGTTGGGGACACTGAAGACGTTTTAAAAGCCTTGGAGGTAATAATGTCATGTTTAAACCCAATCATTCTCATCCATGAGAAAAGATAACTATTAGTGATTTGTGTCCTATTAAGAGTAATCATTATTTTCTGGTCCTTTTCTAATAATAAGGTGTATTACCACTGTAATAGAACTGACAAAATCCTAAAATTGTCCATATGCAGTTTGGGTAAGGACATAAGCTTTTTTTTTAAAAAATGTGGAAGACTTCATTTTAGATTTTGCTTGAAAATTTGAAATGGTCTTTATTCGTTCTTACCCAAAAATACTTTTGAAATTCTTGGTAAGACACTCAAAAATTTACAGCATATCCAAGGGATCCTGAATGTGTGACTTTAACTTAAGTGACCATAATTATCGGTTATTATAGAGTTCTGTTGATTAACATCAGTTTGCTATTGATTTATACTAGGTTAATTAATTGCTGTAAGTGCCCTTTTTTAAAATTACAGATCTCCCTCCCAGTTTTGTTTTTTAATGGTATCACTTTTGAAAGTAAAAATGATCAACTCAGCAAGTTATTTTCAGCTTAATGCCAATACATTTGGTTGCTGTGTCAATTTGCTAATCAAGTACATGACTCCAACATCAACTTAATGATAAAGATTAAAGGTAAACTATTGATGCAAAGCTTGGCCAATGCTTGACACACTAAGTAGAATAAATTTGATGCTTAACTACAATGGAGTCCTGCTTTATACAGTTTAACTCGTGAGGCCTTGATGTTTAAGCTTTGGAGCATAGAGTGCTTTTACATTTATTGGTTCTCAAATTTTCCCATTTCTGCTTTTTTAATATGTGCTTGTCCAAAGAAAAATATATATTGAAATAGGTTGAATGAGTGGGGCACTTGTATCTCAAATGGCCACTACAAACGAGCCAATTGGTTGTATAACCCAGGAGGGTTGATGGTATCGGGAGAATAATTTATTTGTTATATGTGAATGTCAACGCCTGATTTGGCTTTACTCTTAGCATGAATAAGATTAAAAACTGGACAAAACTGCAATACATCAATAAAAGGAGGTCTTTATAGTCCAAATCCAGTAGTTTATGTATTGTGGTATTAACTCTTGTTACTTCACAGACAGTTAAAGAAATGGAGATTCCTTTGAAGGTGAAGGAAAGCACGCCAAATAGCAAGTTTGGACAACGGTTTATAAAATCTATTGTAAATATGGTAGGTTTTGGTGATCTTGGGAACGAATTCCATTTGCCTGAAAATTTATATTTATATTCCAAATTTATCTTAATTGAGGATTTCATCTTTCAGGCTCTGGGAGAAACTGAGTTTAAGCTGTTCAGTCTAAACTGTATTGGAACTAAAATATCTGGAAAGAACGTCCACTTATAAAATTCTTAGCAAATGTATCCTATGTCCACTTTGGGATTTGAATTTGAGTTTTCTGAAGCAGTTTATGTCACTAGAATGGGTGTTTTCACATTATGGCTACATTCTTATTGGTCGGCATGTTCTAACTTATGTATGTAATCTTCTGTTGAAAACCCGAACAATCTGAAGCAATAACATCAAATGAATGTATTTAATGGAATAAACAAAAAATAATTAAATAATTGACATCACTCTGGTAAATACTAATAGTTTATGCCTGATTTGTTGTTTACGGATAATATCGGCTCAAGAATAAAAAGAATTGTTTTTTTTCTACTTGGTGTATTTGTGAATTTTTTTTTTAAAGCAATTTTATTGTAAGAGTATAAAACAGGGATGCTTTTTATATTATGTCCCAATCCACTAGGCCAGCAAAGCACACCTGACTGCAGACAAACCCAACAATCATTTATCATTTTTTAACTTGATAATTTAGAACTTGATAAAAATTTGTAATTTAGCACTAACCATTTGATATTTGGTAAATAGATAATTCAACATTTTCATCTCAGCTATAAATAGTGGATTCTCAGTTCAAATTGTTATTCAAATTGTAATTCAAATTGTTATGTATAATTTATCCTGAAGATTGATTTTTACCTAATTGCAAAACTAATCAACATTCATGCTTATGGGAAATCAGTTTTTAACCATGAGAGATTTTAGTTATGTAATTTTATTTTGGACTTGTCTACATTCATTCACTTAGGCTATACAGTATTAGTCTTATAGCACCAAATTTGGAAATTGAAATGTTTGCCTATTTGTACTGCGCATGTTTGAAATCCCTTCATTAAGGAGTATATTTGAGGATTCACTATACTATTAATTTCATTCTTGATGTGCATATTCATTGTAAAAGCATTCCATGTGCATGTTTACATTGGAACAATCATTATATGTTGTGGATTTAAATGTTGCAATCATAAGCAAATTGATTTTAAAGAGAGATGATGACTATCAAAGATAACTTTAAATTGGTAGATCTGTGTACATGAAGAAGCCAACCTAGTTTTGGGAAATGCCTTGTACCCTGGAGGAGCTAAAGCTATTTTATCTTTTAAAATTCATATCTGTGGTTCAGATATCCAACTACATTTACTTTGCAGTTGATTGCCAAAAAAATTCCTGTAATCAACAATTCTTAACCATCCATAAATCCCAAATTGTAGAATGAACATGCAATTTACAAAATTAATCTAATGGGTATTTTTCTTTCAGTATGGGTGATGAACCTTTTCTGTACCTTGCAGAAGGTACAACAATTGTATTTCTGATTTGTTTTTCTTTCACAATGATTTAGGAGATCAAGCTACCATTTGTTAAATTGGACAATGTGCAAGATTTTGACAATGAAAATGTTGAGCTTGAAACTATATTTGTGTTGGAAGAATTTGAAGGCCAGCCTTATGAGACCTTGCACAAGAGGAATGCTAGAATCCTGGGGCCTCCTGTTGTGTTGCATTGTGCAAGGAAAGGAGAGGTATGGTTAAACATTAATGCGGTTGTGTTTCAAGAGCAAAAATTGAAATAACACCTAATCTGTGAGAGAGATGAGGTAAAAAAGAACAGAAGCCACCTCTGTTATTTTTATTAATATACAGGTTGCTTGAATTTGAGGGTTTTTGGTTTAATTTCAATCAGGGTAGTGTACCCGTAAGCACTCTTGTACTCTGTTTGCTTCAGAGTCAACAACTAGTTTTCTTGGTGACACATTCTCCACTTACCTCACTGATCAACTGTGCCCCAGTACTATTAAAATGATATCTATATTAAATGATGGAATCTGATGATTGGAGAAAGTTGCCAAACTATAATTAACCTGATTTGTTGCTGTGGAGGAGAAACTCTCAAGCATTTTGATTACATCAGGAGTCCAGCGTGTAAATTGCCGAGATCTTGAGTGACCCCAGCGCTATGTATCACTTTCAGTTCAATTTCAGCAATGAATATTGTGAATAATAGCCAATCCACCTATTTGATTGCAGATTTACATTGAACTGAGCAGGCTACTTTTAAAAATTTTTAAATCCATGTGGTGGATGAAATGTAAATGGCCCAAAGACTGGCACAAGCAGATCTGAAAGATTACTGATAGCATTTTGTAACTCCTGTGAAAATTCTACCTCTGCATGGGTGAACTTCCTTGCTGTATACCTGTAGTACCATATGCTTCAAAGCTGAATTAGCAATTTCCATAGCAGGGCCTTTTGAGTGGTGTTGCAATATTAAATCCAAAGTTTATTTTACAATATAAGTGCAACATGAAAGAATATATGGTTAACTGCAGTTCAGTATTTGAGAGGATTTTTGCCAGAGTTGATGGGAAGATAATTTTCTGCTTTGAAAAAGCTAGACCATAGCATTTACTTTTTGTTTTGTGGAGATGTGTTCAGGGACACAATAAATTTATAACAATTAACCTATCAAGATGACTGAACTACTTTTTAAAAGACAATGGAGTTAAGGATATTTCGTACCTCATTATTTAGAAAATTGATTTTCAAGTATTGAACTGATTTTTATGAATTTTCTATTTGTCCTATGTAGCCTTTGCCTTTTACATCACGGCCGCTGTACTGCACAAGTATGTTGGATCTGGTCTTGTGTTTCACTGGATTCAAGAAGGAGAAGATGGTGAGACTTTTAGTTTCTTTTTAGCTGAAGTTCAATTGACAAAGTTGATAGTGACCATGGAGCATTGTGCTACAAAGACTCCTAATAATGAACATTACCACACTTAACTTACGAAGCAACGTGAGTGTACTAATCCACTCTGTATCTCCAGGACTGTTGTTTTCTTCCCCATTTTAAGCAGTGACCCTGTGGTATTCAGAAAGCATTCCTTTAAATTTTGAATTTTATGAATGGTTCATAAAGAAAGAACATAAGAAACAGAAACAGAACTAGACTGTTCGGCCTCTCAAACTTGTCCAGCCATCCAAGAAGATCATGGCTGATCTGCTCCAGGTCTTCTCTCCTCTGTCATTTCAGCTTCTCATATTCTCAAACTATCAAGGCATTGAAGGCTATCTGCTGTTTTTTTTTAATTTCAATGATATCACCTCCACAACTCTGCATCTCTCTGTCTATTAACCAATGTGTATGCTGTTAATTCACTTATTTATTCTTAATCCTTAGTGATTTAAGTAAAGAGCCAATCATTGTGCCTTCCTTTTGCCCTTTTTTCGTTCGACTTAATTTGCTTTATTTTTTGTTTCAATGTTTGCATACTTTTGTTCCTTCCTATGTGACTCTAGGTATCATTATATAAGTAGCTGTCTTGTCATGCTACCGCATACTTTTGTTTTGTAAGCCTTTTGTCTTGTAAGCCTTTTGTCTCTTTCCCAGAACCCTTTAATGTTGTTAGCACCAACATGGGTGACAATGGTTGGATCCCTTCCCTTCTCCTCCAGCTCTCAGGAGATGTCCTTAAACTTGGCACTAGACAAGCAACACAGCATTCAAGACTTACTGTCATAGAGTCATGCAGCATGGAAACGGATCCTTTGATCCAACACACAATGCCAACCAGGGTTTCCCAAACTAAACTAGTCCCATTTGCCTGCGCCTGGCCCGTATCCCTCTAATCCTTTCCTATTTATAGTATGTACCTGTCCAAATGTTTTTACTGTACCTGCATCTACCACTTCCTCTGGCAGTTCATTTCAATTACACACCACCCTCAGTTGCCCCTCAGGCCCCTTTTAAATCTTTCCTCCCTCACACTAAACCTATCTCCTCTAGTTTTGGACACCCCTACCCTAGGGGAAAGACATTTGCTACTCACCTTATGCATGCCCCTCATGATTTTATAAATCTGCATAAGGTCATCCCTCAGCCTCCTATGGTCCAGGGAAAAGCATCCCAGCCTCTCCTTATAATTCAAACCCTCCAGTCCCGGTAACATCCTTGTAAATCTTTTCTGTAACCTAACCAAGTTAATAACATCTTTCCTATAGCAGGGATACCAAAATTGTCCGCAGTATTGCAAAAGTGGCCTCACCAATGTCCTGTACATAGAACATAGAACATTACAGCGCAGTACAGGCCCTTCGGCTCTCGATGTTGTGCCGACCTGAAGCCCATCTAACCTATACTATTAGATTACAGCCACAACGTGACTTCTCAACTCTTATATTCCATGCATTGACGAATGAAGACAAGTGTACCAAGCACTGCCTTCACCACCCTGTCTACCTGTGATGCCACTTTCAAAGAACTATGTACCTGAGCTCCTAGGTCTCCCTGTTCAACAACACTTCCCAAGGCCCTACCATTAACTGTGTAAGCCCTACCTTGGTTTGTCTTAATCGCATTTATCTAAATTAAACTCTATTTGCTACTTCTTGGCCCATTAGTCCACCTTATCAAGATCCCTTTGTACTCTTAGATTACCACCTTCACTGTCCACTATACTATCAAGTTTTGGGTTGTTGGCACATTTACTGACCATGCTTCCTATATTCTCATCCAAATTGTTTATATAAATGATGAACAACAGTGGTCCCAGCACTGATCCCTGTGAAGTAGCACTGGTCACAGGCCTTTGATCTGAAAATCAACTCGCTACCACCCCCCTCTGTCTTCTGCTGTCAAGCCAATTTTGTATCCAGTTGGTTAGCTCTCCTTGGGTTCCGTGTGATCTTAGTTACTAACCACTCTACCATGTGGAACCTTGACAAAGGTCTTGCTAAAGTCCATGTTGACAATGTATCCAATCTGTCCTCATCTGTCTTCTTGGTCACATCCTCAAAAAAAAAACTCAATCAAGTTAGTGAGACATGAGACATGATATATCACAAACACAGCCATGCTGACTATCCCTAATCAGACTTTGCCTTTCCAAACACACGCAAATCCTGTCTCTCAGAATTGCCTCGAATAAGTTACCCATCACTGATTTATGCTCACTGTTGGAGAAAACCACACCTATCGCTCTAATTGTCCCCTGCGACTACTAAATTCCTATTTGTGCCTGCCAACTTGAATGAATCCCGAGAACAAGGTGCCATTTCACCTGTAGTCCCCACTGTCATTCAACTAGCTTGCAAGAACCTCATAACTGTTGGACAATGGCAAAGCCTGAGGCTCCTTAAAAAAACATAATGTAAGAAATAAATGTTGGAGTCAGCCATTCAACCTCTCAAATCTGCTCCACCGTTCAACAGGGCCACGGTTAATCTGCCCCAAGCTTCATCTCTTTCGTGCTAGCTCATCAAATAGTCCTCACCCTTCCTGATGTTGCAAAAATTGTTCTGCATCTTCTTTAAACTCTGTGGTCTAGCCTGCACAACTCTCAAGAGTTCCAGAAATTCACCACCTGCTTGGAGAAGAAGTTACATTTCATCTCCCTTTGAAATGAGTGTCCCCTTATTCTATAACTCCAGTCCCCTAATTTGAGATTCCCCAACTAATGGAAACGTCTTTGCAATATCTACCTTGTTAAGCTGCCTCAGAATTTTTGTATGTTTCCATTAGATCAGCGCTAATTTTTCTGAACTCTTACTGAATAAGGGCCTAACCTGTTTAGCTGTTCTTGATAGTCAGTCCATTTATCCTAGGAATTAGCCGAGTGAATCTCCTTTTGATCCTGCCTCCAATGTCAGGATCGTTGGTAATCGTTCAGAGTATGATGTTCACTTGGGAAACTGTGTCACTGGTTATAGATTCTGTTGGTCCTTGTGAAATTGAGCCCAATCCCAGAGCTGCATCTCCAAACACATGTTTAGCAGGTATTTCCAAGAGGTGGAATTGGTCCTTAACTTTGATCACTGGCATTATTTTCTCCAATTCTTTTTCTCGTACGTCCTCTTGTCGATGGTTGTTCTTGAAGAATTATTCATTCAAAGATGAGGTTATTCCAAGTCAGTTTCTTCTGATCAAGGCATTGATAATTACATTGCATTTCTTGAGGTAAACCTTTAGGGAGTCTTTGAAGTGCTTGGTTGGTGATCATTCTCAGATGAGTGCCTTCCTTGAGCTGGGAGGTTGATCCCTGGTTTTCTTCATTTCTGAAGAAGGTGTAACCACCACTTTCCTTTGCCTTTCCTTTGCCTGCTTGTCAAGTCTGCTGCAGGGCAGTGATATCAACTTTGAAGTGCCTGAGTTTGTGAGCAACAAGGGCAGTACTAAATTCTGATCAATTGTTTTGCACGTTAACAAAAGGCATTTGTACATTCCAGGTTCCGAGATTGAATTGCACTTGCATTTCAGACCGCAGGTAGATGAACCAGCTGGGTAGGTGTCTCCAGCCTGACTGGAGACGAAACAGACTATTTTTAGAAATTTTTCTAGTCCCATCCCCACGTGGGATGAGCAAAGTAGATCCTGAAGAGGGCTGTTCAGTTGTGAAGAAAGCTGCCGAAATATGCCTATGTGCTAGTCCAAAGCTTAGGGTCTTCGAGATCTTTCAATCCAGTCCAATTTGATTCTCACCACTTGCAGGGTGTGGAGTGGAGGTTGAATTCCTATAGGTAATCGCCTTTTGAGGGATGTCTTTTAATGTACATCAGCAGACAGGGTACTTGACGGAAGGTAAATTCAGTCCGGTGGCAAGAAAACTTCAACTGGACATTTTGCGAGATCTTGCTGGTTCTGCTGCAGTGTTTGTCTGTCATCACAGTTGTTGATATCACATTAATATCTTCCTCCTGAATTGCTGCTGAGCACTTGTTTTGGATTGCACTTTATTTGCTTCTTCCTGTCTGATCTTAACATCATGGGTGATCTTACCAGGAGTTGAGAACTCCTGACAGCGTTGCTTTCAAATCAGTGAAACATCTCCTCTACAGCAAAGTGATGATCCACAGAAGGAGATATTGTTATTTAAATACAGGGAATAAAATTTAGCAAGGTAATCCCAAATTCAGCATCACCAATACACAATACACTTGTACCTAGACTTCTGAATTTGTAAAATCCAATCTTGCAGTAATAATTAGGTGGGAAGGCATGTTGTGATAAGGATTTAGGAATGTGCAAGGCCATAAGATAATAATACACAACAGCACAATTAGGCCATTTGTCCCATCAAGTTTGCTGTGTCATTACTCTGATATGTTACTTAACCCCATTCTCTTGTTTTGTTTCTGTAACTGTTGACCCCCTTACTAATCAAGAATTATCTGTCTCTGTCTTGAACATACTCAGTGACTCGGCCTTCAAGCCCTCAGTGCCAATAGTTCCCTCTGGCTGAAGATATTCCTCCTCATCTCATTTCTAAAGGGTTGTTCCTTCACTTTGAGGATGTGCCCTTGTGTCCTCGTGACTCCTACTTTTGGAAATTCTTCTCCACGTGCACTTTATCTAGTCCTTCTTGTAAGCTTCAGATCCCCACATCCTTCCTTTAGATGTAGGGCCCAAAGCTGCTCAGGTTATTCCACATGCCAAAGGTAAGATAAATTGGTTGACTGAGTGGCAACAACTTGGCAGAGGAGAGTTCAATGTAGAAAAGTGAGGCCAAGCACTTTGTGCTGGCTTTGGAGTCCACGTTATTTACGATATAGTCTACCTTTTGGTTCTTCCTACTAGAAGGATATGGGTGTTCTTGTGCATGAAACAAAACAAGTGTAACAAGCAATTTAAGGCAGCAAATGGAATTTTGACCTTTTTTCACCTTTGAAGCATGGGTGTTGCTGGCTGGTCAGCCTGTCCTGACTTGCCCTTCTGAAGGTAATGGTCAGTTTCCTCCTTGAGCTGCTGCAGTCTGTACTTTTTGATAGACTCAATGCTGCTAGTCTAAAAGTTTTGCACAGCCAGTCAACCAATTTTTATCATAATTCAGATTCCCATGTCTCTATCCCAACAGGCTCTCACACCTATTTTTGTCAACAGCAAATTTGGATATGTTACGTTCTGCCTCTTCCTCCAATGCATTGATGTAAATAGTTTAAATAATGATCATTGATCTGACTGATCATTGCAGCACTTTGCTATTTGAGTCTTTCCACTTTGAAAAAGGTTCAACCTGACTTTTCTGTGTTAAGCACAGAATCCATGTAACAAAGCCTATAAATCCTCATTTTCCCATTCATTGATAATTAACAGGATCATTTTGTTTGAAAATTACCTCTTTATCTTCTTTTTAATCTGCAGCTTATTCTTGTTACCCTGGCACATCATATGGGAGCAATCATTCGGAAAGAATACACTGGTAAAATAACTCATCTTGTGGCCAATTCTACTCAGAGTGGCAAGTTCCGGGTATGAGCAAATTTTTTTGATCATCTTTTGTACCTTGAAGGAAACTGCAAGCTTTTCTCTCGGAAGCTGAGATTTTTGATAAACCAGGGGAATGGCTAAGAAAATGGCTAAAGACGGGTAAATAATGTGAACTTATTTAAAGAATGTTGTGGTGGGAGAAAAAAGTCTGCTGAATTATGGTTCCCTAGGATATTTCTAATTTATCTTAGCCATATGGGTACAAAATATGGGGTTTGACTCAGCTGTTGAAGGGGGAATGGGTGCAGTGTACAAAGCAACAGTATGATTGGTGTTGGGAAAAGTTCGACAGAGATTAATTCTTCAACCTGTCCAATTCATGCAGATTAGCAAATCCAATACAAAAAGTTCTACTGAGCAGAAGGAGGCCATTCAGCCTGTCCTGTCTGTGCAAGGCTTGGGGAAGCTAATTCCAGCCTCCAGCTCTTGGTCTGCAGTCCTCAAGACTGAAGTGCATTTTTTTAAATATGAGGGCTTTCCACTCAACTACTGTGTCTTTAGATGATGAGTTCTGTACCCCCTAAATATATAAATTACTGCTGAATTCCCTTCTAATGCTTCAACTAATTTCTAAATCTTTGCCCCAGTTGTTGACCTTTTTTTCAACTGATGGAGATAGGTCCTTCTTAATCCAGCACCTCAGTTTTTGTTTTACCATGCACACAACAAAATCTCCTGTCTCCAATGTTCTGCCGAATCCTCTGTTTAATCAGGTGTGCAGAAAAGTATCAGGTGAATTCCATTTGGTGTATCTTTCCCTTGAGCTAAAATTATCCATTCCGGGCAATATTCTTGTAAAGAGATAGTAGGAACTGCCGATGCTGGAGAATCTGAGATAACAGGGTGTAGAGCTGGATGA